AACCAATGAAGTGTTAAAGAATGGAATCGAACTCACGAGCAAATGCTCCTGAAATTTGATTGGCAGTAACGTGGTCATTGCGACGTTTTCAGTTCACTTCAACGAGTTTAACGAATTCGATTGCTGCTGCTGCAGATTCTTCTCAGGTTCAGATTCGTATTCAGATTCAGTCACTCATAAAAACAACAACAGTGATCAGTGATCGATCAGCGGTGATCTGAATGATTGATCACGATAAGTTGCATGAATGTGACGACAAACGGTCGACAAATAAATGAGACGACAAATAATCAGATGACAACTGATCAATCGATACGACGAATAAATGAGCTTTGAGCGAGAATAACATCATAATACATGTTCGCGATGTGTGTAAATCAACTAATAAAAAACACAGAAATTTCGATCTATCAGATTGATGCGAGCACTTTAGGTGTACAATCGAAGAGGATCAGAATCAAAGAACTACCTCTCGACGTACGTACGAAGCAACACCACCACAACAACGATTCACGATTATGCACCAAACACCAAACACCTTGAAACTGCGAATACACACTTTGAAACTTGCTCGGATACCCAAAACACGAATTACAAATCGCTGTAAATTACTTGCGGATACTAGACATTGAACAATACTTTGCATACACCTTTTGGATATGAAAACGAAGAGCACGAGCCAGCGCCATTATAATCAATGAACACAAAACATGTTCCACAAAACATAGCATGAAAATATAGGATATAAGACTAATTGAGATTCGCTTTAACCTGGCCAATGGAAGGGGGAAGTGAAGAAGAGGGAGGAAAAATTCGAGAACGCGAACTGAATTGATATGCAGGGTGGAAGCAATGCGCAGCTCAGAAACTACTCAGGGAGGCAGAAGACTTTTGAGTGCGGTTACAGAAATGACGTAAGGTATATATTCGGTTTTGTATGCTGTATTGAATCCAACAATTGCATATCAAAGGTCAATGCAAGGTTACCAGCTTGACATGACTCACTGTCAGCAATCAAATATTCTCAAAGAACAAAAAAATCAAACAAAAAACGTGAATAGAAAATACATCCACCTTCCGTCTCTACAAAGTACATTCACAAACCGGAAATGACCCACATCTTGCATCGAATTCAAAACGAAACAAATACTTTCATCGATAAGACATCTCGTAAAAAAGAGCACAGACATTTCATTCGAATACAATACAGACTGTCAACGAATGACCATAAAACGTCAATTAATTAAGACCTATACCATATGGATACGATCATCGATATTAAACAGGTCAGTCAATATTAAATTGCAATTTCAACACAAACACATACTAATCACATGCATAAAATTACTTTATCTACTAATCGTAAGAGATCTGCATCAAAGAGATTTTCACTATATAGTGCATAATAATATGCATCCGTTAATGGATGAGTATTCAACTCAAGAATAATACGTCTATGAATGCCCTTGACAAGTATTATACTAAACGCGATCGATACATAAATTTTGCATATGTATTTACCTACACTCATAAATATAACTACGCACATATATCAATAATGTCTCGTCTCCTCAATGCTTCTTTACACAGCAAAATTCAAACATTACTCACTCACAAATACACAAACACATTTATATATACCTTCATAACGTGTTATAGACTTTTATGCAAACTAATTGCATTTTTACAATTATTCACCTCATTCATTCATAAAATCAATTCATTCATTTCGCGGATCTCAAACTCATTCTCGCAATACCAACCAAGCATACAATAATCATGATTTGTTGCATTCGCCGACTGCTCACAATCCGCACAGAAAAATACATATAAGATCGGTCTCTGCAACAAAACTAATGTTGAATAGACAGACGTTCGAGAAAATTTGCGTATCGCATCGCTGGTTCACAATTTTATACAGCGTTGAAGGAGAGAACGAAGATAATGAATCACAGATCGTGTGGCATCTTTCTTTTTTTTCGAGATATTATTATCGATATTATTTGAAGGTTAGAGCAACATGAAGGTGTTGCAAGCGTTGGGCATTCGTATGAATATAAGCATAAGCTGCTAGCTGTTAAATACACAGCTTCATATCTATCTGTTTCTCTCATGCGACCATTTTCAAGCCTATCTGATAATATGGTTCGCGTAAGCATGAGCAGTTTATACGATCGAGGTTGGAACAGGCACATATGGGCATAGGCATGTGTGCCTGATTGACTCTTTCACGGCTTATTTGCTTGGTTGTCTGGTCAGTGCTGTCTGTCTCAGAGAGAGTAGTGAATGTGATGTCATATCAAATAAGAGACAGCTAATGAATGAGCTGTATGTTCGGCTGTAAATAACTGCTGCTCAATAATGACTGATCGAAAAACATATGATCGATTTTTTTGTGCCAAGAAGTTGCGATATAATTAACGTAGTGAATCAGTTGTTCAATGAGGAATGGTAACAGTGATGTGCACAAGCTGAATGATTAAGAATATGAGAAACGCGACTGAAACAACCGTGAAAAAAAAAACTGTAGCATAGTGCCGTAAAATTGGAAACAGTATAAAGACTAAAATATGGACAATGAATAATGGTAGTCATAATCTCCCCATGACGATAACGAAGACAGCATTCACTTCAGCACTCATCAGAATTACTCATCAATTTCAACTGTTCAATTCAAATGGACGTTTCTTCAATTTTCATGCGAAACTATATTTTTAGCAATTCGTCAATGTGAAGAACAATAAGGAGAATTCACTGAACAGGTTCGATCCTCCCTTCTACGTCTCCCGTGAGATAGGTTTTGCTCAACAATGGATGACTGATTAGTTGAATAATTGGAATGAAATAATTCCGAGCTAGGCAGCAAGCTAGCGGGATGCAAATTTTTCTTGGAAAATGAAATGGCAAAGCCAACAATTTTAAAAAGGCGTTCACGGTGAAAAGACGTTGCCAAATGCAAATTACTGCGAAAAATGGACTGATTATCACCGAGATCAAAGAGACTTTAACGCATAAATTGAAGACGACACGACACGCGCACCAAACAATCAACAAGAAGAATCGATGGAAGACAATTTGCTTACTCATCAGCTTTTGAATTAATTCACATTATTCGATTAAAAGAAAGACGAAACGTTGTGAACACATTCGCGATTGGGTTAACGAAGTCGTAAAGCAGGCAGAAATCGTTTAAATGATCAGTTTCAAAAGATGTATTAAAATCAATCGAACGCCGGAAATTCACACCCCCAAAACCTTCGACGGTTACTGGTTCTCGATTTATTTCTGATTTAAAAAACTTCTTGCGTCGCGCAAAAAAANTACGATCGACTTAATCACACAAAAAATGTTTCTTCCCATAAATGCAACGAAATTTGACACTTAACACGACAATTATTCAATATTCTAAAAATTTCAAAAATCCATGATTGACGACACCGCAATCCACATAACATGGATACGAATCGATTTAAATCCCGTCTCCCTTTCTGGATGAGAAACTTTACCTTCATAACGTACAACCAAACGGCCATGGTGACATTGAATCTGGCACTGAAACTTATCCGTCTCAACTCGCCAAACTTCCATGTGGCCACAGAAAATCGCACTTTCCCTACGATAACGCGCTAAATTCAAACAAACACTTAACTCAACTCGCTCATGTTCCCTCAACATCTCCACTTCGTTTCATCAAAAAACCTTTAATCCTGGTGAAGAAATTCTATTTTACCAAGAGAATATCACTTCTGTTGAAGTCAACCGTAAGCAACAGATTGAATGTTACTGAATAAAAACAAATATGAAGAGAAATCACAACACACAGAACAAACGTTTCTTTTTAAAGTCGTTATTCACAAATTTATTTCGTTGCTTCAAGATGGGTATGATTTACAAATTAATTATTACCCTGGAGAGACTATTATGCGATAAGGTTTCATTTGCCAACGTGGGCTTATTTACAAAAAGATTCCTTGCTGACTGTGAGCACAACGAATAAAATAACTACAGTACTATATGATGACTGAAAACATTACTGACATGAATGAAATAAGTACACACGAATGAATAAATGTGGTTGCAAAAAAAAGCACCACACAACATGAGATTACATCCTGGTAACTGCTATAACTGTTTAAAATTTGAGAAAAATTTGTTAGAGGTTCTCATTATGAAAATAGAATTAGTATGGTTAACGTTGTTAGTATTGATAATAAAGCGTAATTCCAAATAGGTATTCAGCGAGACTTTTGCAAGAAAACGAGGAGAAATAACTCGAGATGTCTAAAGCCCAATGAAGATGGAGAACAGAATTGAGATTCATATAGCACACCTGTCATTACTTCTGTTAAAATTATCACAACTACTAGAAAACTCCATACTGAACGAACATATTGCTGAGTTTTGTCGAGAATCTGCATTATGAACAGCAAATAATCCAAAAATTCAACGACGAATACAATGAACTCAAAAAGCGTTTGAATACGCAACAACAATTAGCACATAAATGCGACCAGATATCACTGAATAGATGAAAAAGCTCGCACAAATACAAAATTCTTTGGTTTTTACATATGTATAAAAGCGATCCAGCACACACAATTTGCTCGGATATTCCAAATATGTAATAAAATATATACATTAGCATTAGTAGAATATTGAATAATGCCAGTTCTGAGATGAAACTCAAGCAGTACAAAAGACTAGAAACGTTCAAAAATATCGAATACTGAGATTAGATCAGATTATTAGGAAAACAACAAAATTTCATAAATTACAATAAATCACAAAGATCACAAATCTACAAAAATGAGTCCAATTATTTTGATCGCCAGTTTTGTCGCATATCCATATACAACAAATTCTGATTGAAATATGAGTTTAAGACAATTTCCTCGATTGTCATCTATCGTCATCCACCCGAACACGACACTTCAAATTTGCATCAGTGAATTCTTCAGAAGCAGCCCATTCGGACGGTTCCGAGTGAAAGCACTTGGTGTCGTTGTATTCTGAACCGTCATCGCTTTCTTCTCTTTCATCTGATTCCGATCGCTCCTCTTTTGCTTCGAGACTGTTGAAAGGTTTCCAACGTCTGTTATAACTGTAACGATTTCGGAAAACGAATAAATGATACCAACAAATTATTCCATAACAACAATCGCTTTCAAATAATAACAAATTCAAGGCGTGACAGAGAATGAAAAAAAAANTGAGTGCACTGTACGGATTTCAAGAATGTAATGAAGATGTTCGTACTGCATAATCATATTAACAATTATAATAATCAATTTGAAAATCAACGGACGGGTTCATAAAGCTGGTGTAAAGAGAATAAGCCAGCTTACGATTCAGAACCTCTCGTGAAATATTTGGATTCAATTTCATCGCCACTTTCGGACGAATAGTTCGAATCAGCTGACGATGACCATTCAGCTGCCGTTCTAAGACCAAGGAATCGCATTGGAGATTTTTGTTTCTCTTGCGGAAGTGTGAACTCGTCAATCGCCTCCAACAGTCGGTCAGCCCATGAGTCTGCCTGCTGTTCGATACCTATACGATCAAACAATCTATATTGTCATTTCCATTAAAACACTTCTGGAATAAATTTGTATAAATCCTGTTCTACTGATTACTTTGAAGTTGGTATTGAAATCAGTCGAAAAAAAAGATGTTCAAATTTGCCATCGTTGCAGTCAAATTGATCGAAAATTTGAGAATTTAGAAAGCAACCAACTTTCATACTGTCGATTACGATCGGCCAAATATAAACGACAAATCGGTTTCGCACCAATCGAACGCAATCGTCTTGCCAGCGTTTGAGCAGCCTGAAAGCACCAGCGGTTCACTGAATAACTTTTCGAGAGCTGCTCACATGAATACGAACAATTGCTAGGATATTAGCCATAGAAAATGAATGAGTTAGATAAATTTTTGTAAAATAAACTGCAAATAATCATATATGATTCGCAAGGAACACGCTCAAAAAAAGTTTCAAATCAATAAAAAGTAAGTGCGCAAAACAGAGACGAATAATAAGTGAAAAGAACCCGATTGAATCGAGTGTTACTGCGCCCTCTGAGCATAAAATTATCGATTCCAAAAATAGCAAAATGCATTTTACGACACTCGAAGAAACGTCTGTGCTTTTTCGATCGTTTATTGTCACTACCCAGCTCCTCCAACCAATCGAAGAACCATTCCACTGATTCGGGCTCACGCCCTTTTTTCCCGCTACTTATCAAGAAGATACCAATTCCCTTCAAACAAACAATTCAGCTTCCACTCAGAAGAGACAAATATTTGTAATATCCGATACGACATTTTAGAGATGATCCCCCAGAATCTACGATACATGATCTCAGCTTATCATAGGCTTACTCTGAATTCATCAAACAAAAACAACATAGCACTGATGATAACAGAAATTATGGCTGAATTCCACGTTGCTTCATGCATCAATTGAATTCTCATCGACATAACACGAAAAATCACAACTGAACGAGTGTTCAGATAGAACCTTGAAGTTTGAGAAATCTTCGATGTCGACGTATGCGAGATCGATTACGGGTGGTGATTCGTGCGCGAGTCTCTCGGAGACCAAATGCGCTAAACGCTGTGCTTCATCGTTGTCCGAAGCGAAGAACACCGTCACTGCCGAGCGTTCACGTTCCTCGATCAACCGTTCCTCTTCACGTTTCTGCAACATGACTGAACCCTCATTCCTGGATTTGATTCAATCCTATGCGAGAATTCACAAAATAATGCGATCGTCAACTTATTCTTGATCATTGTATTAATCCCGGCGATCAGTAGTAAACTTGAAAACCACGCATTCGACAGTGTTCATCAATTCTTTCGAATCAAATACATTGCGAACAGTTCAATGAAAGTTAAAAGAATTACAAATTATCCGATGAATTTCCACAGAATATTCAAAGTTCACTAGGCAAAGCAGGATTTGACGTAGCAATTCTTTTCTAGAACTATTATGTTTCAAGAACTACTTTTGGATGTTCAAATTTCTAATTTACATACTTAACTAATGAGCTTGAACAAGCGAGACATTTGAATTTTTTTTTATAAAAAGACAAAACGAACCTTAGAGTAATTTTCATACATTTTGTGTAGATAATGATATAAGATATAAACAATTCCAGGCATGAATATACCGCAAATCGCCGTCAAATAGAGCAGCAAATCGTCTTTCTCAGCCGCTCGAACCAATGACTCCAACGAACTGGTTTTCGTTTGACCACCACCAACTTTTGTGCCACTCAAACCCCCCGGCATTTTCAACTCTCACTCGTCAACCTCTAGATCAATCACCAACCAATCGCTATCACAACAATCATTTGCTCCAGTCTTAACCTAATCTGTAAATTCTGATCACTTCATCCTTTGAATGCACAAAGTTTCAACTTGATACACTCACTGATTCGACACAAAGCGTTAATCGCCACCAACCAAACGATACGATTATTTTGATTTGTTCGATTTACTGCACAATTCTTTATGCAAATGTGATTCCAAAATTCAAATTTATATGGGTCGGAACTGATCGAAATGTTAAAAATACCAAAAACTGACTGAGACTTGACCTCAGCAAACATTTATCTCCGTTCTTGAACCCTCCGTCAATGTAACTGAAGCAACGGAATGAACCGTTAGATTACTGCCAAGCAAACCTGGACTAGGACTATGCAGTTCCAAAACTTTTTATTATATGAAAGTGTAAGTTGATTAGCATTATTTACACGACCATATAAATCAATGTTTAAAGACAGTAATAAGATCTTCTAAAAGTGTGTCTTATATATAAACAAATACTTCACAAAAACCTACAATTAAAATCATTAAATTAAACAAACTCTGTACATGGAAGGTAATGTTAGTTGCGTGACGTGAGCGGGTTTCTCTATTTAAAAAATTACAAATCACATAATCTAGTGTATTTCGTGACTGCTATGAACTACAGAAGAACACAGACGAACGAATGAACTAGAAAATGAATAATATGACCACCTAACATAACAAATCTAACAAATTACAACGAACTGAATAGATAATAAACTAATCAAACGCTCGACTGTTACACGTTTAACACACAATAATACTGTTCTCAGAATCATGTCAATCAAAACAATGCTAAAAATTACACAAAAATGCAAAAGTTAGGTATATACCAATAAAAACAAACGAAACTGATTGGCCATTTGAAATCGTCACACCGTGACTTTCAGCAATATCACTACCATATGAGCTGATCAAAGGTCAATGAAAAGTAAAATTATGAATTGAACGGCATGCTAATGAACAACAGATAAAAGATAAGGCCTTGCACACTGGAACAAATCTAAATCAGGATCTAAGGAGCGTCCAAATCCTTCAAGGACCATTACAGCGCCAACAACTGTCGTGAACGACGTTTCCAAACCGACGTGATAGCGACTAACAATTGAAAATAATTGACTGAGCAGTTCAGAGATGTTCAACTGAAATGTAAATGTTTTCAAAATTATTCGACTCATTCGCTCATTCAAACCAACGACATTGAAGTAGTACCATTCATAAGCTCATTTCAATCAAATCTTCTAATTGAGTCTCCAAAAAATGAATATGAATCCAATTATGTGAACTCAGTTCATCAAATCAAACGACACCATAGGAGATGTGTACACATGACATTTGATGCATAAAGATCCACAAAACAAAAAACAAACAAACAGAGAATCGAAAAACGAACCGTTCTCAAACTGCCTTTCGATCGTGCAATCTGAACAACTGCATCAATCTCACGACAAAATTGCTCTGGCTCCTTGCAGTGATGTTGAGGCGCATGATCCAGTAATAATTGCCCAACATCATGTCCCTAGAAATTGAGTCTTTACTCTGACTGAATATCACAAAGATTCCGTCTTAAAAATGACAGACGTTTTCTAAAAAAGTTTTTTTCTTAAAAATGACAGACGAAAGAAATAACAAAGCAACGAAAGAATGAATAGTATACCCGTTTCTCGACAATTGCCCGAAAGAGCGCTCTCAAATTGCGGAGATTTTTTGGTGTCTCTTCGATTGCAATACCCGTATCCAGTATTACAAGCACGGGATCGTCCTCATATTGTGGATTTTCTGTGAAGCGAATCCTAGGCTCATGCACCAAACCGAGCGTATCTCGAAACCAATCAGCCTCAAATCACTCATTTTCACCTTCTCTCAGTAATCCGAAAAAAAAAGTCAATTCTGTCCATCAACTCCATTGAACAGATGCACTTTCTTACCAACTATAAATAAGACAGACTGTTGGTGAATCGATCGACAATTCAACAAACTCACCAATTTTTCAAATAACGTTTCTGATCTGGGTGCATGATGAACATCTTTGGCACCACCATTTCTATCGTTGAAACTGAAAGAACAGCGAACTGATATCAAAAACCACTGAATCGCACCCATACATCTAACAGCAGTTTAATCACTTATTATTCCTAAACAATTTTCCCACACTACTTGAACAGTTTTGGGAAATTTTTCATGAAAACTTTCGATTTTTTAAATCTGTGAAATTCCTCATTGGTTTTTCTCTGATCTGTGAAAAGAAATTGAAAACTGGGAAAAAAGTGAAAATTCAAACCGTATGAGAATATTTCCCGGATGCAAATCACCGTGTACAAAATTGTCCACGAAAATCATTTTCAGCAAAGCACGCGCACCAATCAGTGCCACACGGCGCTTAACACTCGATGCTTGATTTGCGAGAATCTACATTCCAAAAACAATTAGTATCCANTAGCAAAGATATTATTGTACAATCAGAATCACTGATAAATACTGTCAATATATACCTCATGATCTCCAGTTACAAGCCTGTTCACATACATTCCCTCTTCGAATGTTTCCATGATGACATCATTTGAATAGCACAATACCGACGGAAATCGAATTCCAGTCTTGTTCACATCGAAATTCTGTGAGAATCGCTGAAAAAAAAAGATTAACTAGATGTGAATTAAGGAAAAAGTAGTATAGTCATAATGAACTGCTCCATCATGACGAATGACTGATCGAAAACACTCAAAACTTAGCAATTTTCGAAAAACTAAAAGAAAACCTCAAAAAGAGAAACCTTCAGTGCTCGTGCTTCACTACACAAATTCACTTGTCGTTTCAGCACAGTTTCGAACTGTTCCAAACACGATGTCGGATTGACCAACGATAGACCGGGCACAACCATTTCGGCAAATCGCGAAAAATATCGCAATATCGACAAGTCAACTGCTATGCGCTCGTGCATATTTGCTTCAGCCACCTGAATGATGCTACCGTCTTAAGGAAATAAAAAGATGCAGTAAACATGTACATGTCTGAGGATTTTTTCGAATGACCCTGAGGTCATAAAAATGGTATAAAGACATGCACGTTTGAAATGAATGTTATCCATGTATCATTNAATGAATGGTAGCTCCAAGAGTGATGAAGGTTGAAAGTTATTTAGGAAATGGCTGGCTAAAAAAAGAGAAGACAAGATAATGATGAGGAACACGGCAATTAGACGCTTGTTACACGTGCTGATTAAATTAATGAATGAGTGCTTGAATAAATGTCACTAATCATGTTGACAACATGGATATGATTACCCACTTTAATAGCAACGTCCAAAAATTGTTTCTCTTCTTTATCAGTATTGAATTGAATACCAGTAACGCTATGTAGAATTTCTAAGTCCACCTTTGCTTTGTACACCTGCAACTACTCATAGTCTTTTGCATTCATTCGCTCATTACAAAACGGTAACGAACACAACAGCAATTGATAACACTGATTTAGCGAGAAAATCTTGTGTAAAATTAGGGTGATAGGAAGGGGAACGTAATACAAAAAAAAAATAGTCCGAACAGAAAAAGCGACTGACCTGAGCGATACAGCCCGAACCAACTGGTTCCAGTTGAATCGAAACGATAAACTGTCTCCAATCTAAACCACTAAAGAGTGCATCGAGTGCAGCTTCAGATGCTTTACTCCACTTTCGATTCGTAGTTTTTGTATGTAAAGAAGCCAACTGTAAAACGAATTTATACACTCGCCATGCATTCAATTCGATATCCAAAAAAAAANACGCTCAAAGAACAAACGCAAACCTTATCACAGAACTGCTTCGAGAAAATGTCACGTCTTGTACTGGCCCACTGTCCTAATTTAATCATTGTCGGTCCACTTTTCTGAATTGTCCACAACGCAAAATTCCACCAAATCAGCTCCATTCGATCAGAACACAATGATAGAGGATATGTTAACGCAAGTGGTGTAAAGTGCACTGTTAGCTCAATAATCCTTAAACGAAATCTCTTGCATGTAACGCAGTGAGAATATTAAGCTGGAATGATTACAGTGTTCAAAATCAGGATTATAATCAAGCAACCTCACCATTTCACAAGATTTTATTTAAACAGAACATTCATCTGTTGCAATGAAACGGCAACGATGAAACAATGATCCTCTAGAAATCATCCTATCCTCAGAAACTGAAGGAATAAAACATTCTCCTCTGAAAAAAAAACATGTAACAAGAACGAACAACTTCATGCCTACCGAAATGTAACTTTAATAATCCATATTGTCGTACCGAAAACATACACAATGAATCGCAGCAAAACGTTTCGATTCCTCTGTGCGGTCAAATCGATATTATGTTCCACAGTTCCTATTTCTGATGAAATAAGCCATGGACTGCTTTGCACAGACTTCTCTCGTACCTGCGAATAAAACCATCGAGAGAAGAAAACCAGCAATAAGAAAAATTTCAACGAATCTTAACGGTTCGTTTAAATTGTCACAAGTGTTGAATCGGTATTGTGAACCTTTTAAAGAGTTTGAAAAAAACGATGAGATGAGAAAATTTTATAGAACATCAATTCAAAAAGCAAACAAAATTCACCTGAGCTGCAATCGCATCACATCGAATGATACGCAAAAGCGATGTTTTCACGAATAATCCACCACCAAAAGCCAATCCAATGAGGTAGAACTCTCGGAATAGTTTCGTTTTGCCATAATCAAATTTGTTAAATCGGGGTAAAAATCGTCGATAAGCGTTGGAAAAAGCAGTTGAAGAGTAATGACTTCTTGTGAAACTCCGTGAGAAATTACTTTCGATTATCCATTTAGATATTCGCAACACGCCTTGCATACCTAAATGACGTATAAAAATTTAAATCGTTCAAAAGCAAAGACGACGTGAGAACGGAGAATGGTTCACACGTGCTCCTTAAAATTTTGCATGAAGCACGTCGGATCTTACAACAAAACATGAGGACTAAATGCTGTCCTCGGCTCGACAATGAACGCAATTCGAATCACTAAAACAATTGAACGTTACGTTTTGAATTTACCAATGCAATATTCACAATCACCATTCATACAATTATGGATTTGCGAAGAGCTGCTAAAATCCACAAACAGTAAAACAAATCCTGAAACTTAATTACCAGCCTGGAATGCGATTTCTTCAGATGCTTTATAGCTTAGCGTTTAGCCAACCTGCCAAACGTACTAATGATGCTTCGCCAAATGACAGTTGCTGTATTTTTCATGATATGCGTTCATATATGAAGTAATATGAAAAAGTTCAAGAAGGTGTTCTGAAGATGAGCCATGCAATCCAGGAAGGGTAGTTCATTAAAAATCACAAGCGGTATTCAGTTATAATTGAGTGATAAGATGCTTGCGTAGCACACTTTTCATAGAAATGAGCAACAGTAATGGGAGAAACTATAGGTAGATGTGGGAGCAGCTAGACTCGAGTCCCTCATGGGCAAGAGGACGTTCATTATGAAATGCTCAACGTTCAGACGTTGATTGCGAAACGCTGATAAGAAGTGATATGATAAGATTTGAAAGGGTACACGATGTGACAGTGTCTGAGGTGAAATGACACCATTTAAAGTGGAACGTGTGAGATAGGAATACAATATATTGTATTGATAGATTGATATTATTATTAATATATTATATTTTATAGTTATTAATATATTATACAATATATTGATACAATATACAATACAATATCAATAGGAATACAATATATTGATTCCAGTGCTGCCGAATTACGTGAGATACCTTCGGACGTTCAGCTATTCCTCTGAATGTTAACGAAATCGCCCGACAATACATATACTTTTCTAAAGGTAAAGAATCTGAAGAATCAAATGTTGGACAGAAACAGAGATGTTGCAATGCAAACCTGAGAGTACCGTTAGTTTGAAAATGATGATCCTACAAGCATAAGTCTGGGCATGAATGTAGCGACGGTGAGAGAAGGGGTGCTCAATTCGAAGCTGAACACTGAACTGAGGGGAACGAATGCGTATTTTGTTTCCAGAATGAATAGGTGTGTCGCGACGGAACGCGAAAGAGACGATTCGTGAGGGCTACCGAAGTGATATGTGAAATCAACCTTTAAATCTGTACCTGGCTGAATATGTATAAGATGTACACGGATATCATGCACTATCGATTCGG